GCATTGGTCATGGACAAAACTAAACAGGACAGCTCCAGACGGGCATTGGCGAGCAGGCAGTGCCCTCGCCAGCTGTACAAAAACCTGTGAAGGATGGGTGAAATTAGGTAAGTGCAGTTAAGGTCTGATGCGAATGTATGACACCGAAGAACCAGGTCAAACGGTCAGCCTTATTAGCAGAACCACTCGGGCGCCGGTCACAGTAAAACTGCACTCTCTCGGCAAAATCAGGTTTGTGGAGGATAAAAACTACAGGATCTATGGACCCACCGCGAACATCCAGAACCTGGCATTTGATGTGGGAGAATGGGCGTAGAAGCTGTCTACAGCAGGAGGTGAGGGTCAGGGGAGGGTCGGATTGACATATTCATACTCAACTACTCTACAAGACTGGGGTTACAAGTTTGAGACGAAGGCCTGCTAACATCCAGGGGACATCTGTTCAGCGGTGGGACAGGAATGTGGCATGAGGGCTGTGTGTTCTATCCAAAACACTGTGGAGGGCAATCCTGACAATTTGCAACACCAGGGTCAGAAGCATGCAATGGCTCGTAATCTATCAAGCCCTCCCGGTCAGCAAGTGGCTGAGCAGGCGGACAGCAAAACCCTGCAGGGGCACTTTTTATACTGATATTGACCGTATAATAAGACTAGATTCTTTTGAGATTCTACCCGCATTTGTACTCGAGCAGACGCTTCGCGTCTGATGTATCGCCCGAGTGGAGCCAAAGGCGCAACAGGAAGCAGAGGCCTCTCTTATTTGACATTTAAGGCCAAAGGATGATTCATTTATGAGAATTGACTCCAGCTCATTCTCGGTGAACTTATTCAAACAAATGAATCGAGTTTTCAGCCCTCTTTCAACCACCACCACGTTATCTTGTATTTGTTCCACTGAACATTGTAAAACACTCCCACGTAGATGAGTCAAACACGCATTTGATTTTTTAACGAGAAAACATTGTCCACTGCATATTGCAGTGCCTCAACGTGATCCAACTGTGGGGCAAGATAAGGGAATATTGGAGTGCTTGCGCCACCTACCGGTGGTGGCCTGAGGAGGATGGCCAGGGCCAGTCGATGCTGGTGGCTCGCCAGGGTGAGTTGTGCTGCCCTGTTATCCTGTGGCAATGCAGGGGCACCTGACTCTCTCTTTTTTGTTCGGACTCTTCACGTATAGTCTCTGACGACCCTACACAGACATATGTTGGTTTCCTGCGGAGCCAAAGCTTCCGCAACCCTCCAGAAGCACGGATGTGCAGGGCCTTCCACGCATATCTACGCAAACTAGCCGCTGATTCAGAAAATAGTTCTTTTTTTTCTACTTGCTAGAGTCGGGAACTGGGAAAAGGCCTTGGGAAATAGAGATCGGTTTCGCAGAGTGCAAAATCCAAGCATGATGGAAAGCGGAGCTGTTTCAGCAACCCTGATTGAGACTACGTAGGCCTCTCTGACATAGACCAAGCAGCAGGGAAAACGCATCGCCAAACAAATTGAAACAATCCCATTATATATTGGGTCGAAAGTTCCACTGCAGCGCTTGCCCGTTCACCCGTCCAGTGACTCTGCACCCCCACCTTCGCATTCCCCCCAATAAAAATCGATGCCCCGTTTGCATTTCAACACATCAAACCACCCCCCTTTCCGCAACAGTCCGTTTTCATCCCATCCCCACGCACATGTGTGCACGCCACAGGCAGGGTCAGGCGCACATATGCTCTGGCCGCAGGAAGGGTCGGCCTCCCATTCCAAGGGTAACTAACTTTGTGACGCAGGCAGTGGATAGTATATCAATCCCCTCTGTTTGTTAGACGGTTAGACCCAAAAGAAGGGTTCCCCGTCTTACATCCACAATAAATAAACCACACAACAACACACTGTGATTGCTGTGCGCGTGCCATTCACTTCTATAATGTATATAAAGTAAAACTAGTAGACAAATAAAAATAGGTCCTATAGTACCATTAAAGAAAGGAGCACCAGTGGAAACTTCTCTTTGAGCTAATAGATGAAAAAACACAGGTGCAGCGGTGCGACCGAGAACCAGCAAACTAGTTATACAAAGGAACCCCTGTGCAGCCAGTGTTATGACATGTCGTTGCCCACCGACATGTGGAGAGACTACGTTTTTTTTTTGCACAAACATATAAAGCTAAAATACATAGCCATGCATGCCTGCAATTGAAAGGAGCACCAGTGGAAACTTCTCTTTGAGCTAATAGATGAAAAAACACAGGTGCAGCAATGCGGCCGAGAACCAGCAAACTAGTTATACAAAGGAACCCCTGTGCAGCCAGTGTTATGACATGTCGTTGCCCACCGACATGTGGAGAGACTACGTTTTTTTTTGCACAAACATATAAAGCTAAAATACAGAGCCATGCATGCCTGCAATTGCTTCGTGCAACACTTGTGCACGATGATAAAACCCCCGTGTTGCGGATTACAGCTGATTGCAATTTGATTCATGTCCGTTTTAGGCCTTTTGGCMCCCTTTTTTTTTTTTCTTTTTTTTTTGGGGGGGGCACCTCTGTAGGGTCTAATTACCAAGAAGACCCGTTTATTTCCTTAAGGCACTTTGTGGACTCCAAACAATGGTTGTTAACAGGACGTTGAGATTGGGATCCAGACGGTCCAGTCTGGATGTGGGGGGTCCGGTTGGACCCTGAAGGAAATTCGAGAAAAAAACTGGGGTCCCCAGGCAATTCTCAAGTCCCTAGGGGACCCCCAAAAGTTGTTGCAGCAGTTTTTGGTGGACCGTTGGGCCAACCGGACCGGCCCCGAAGGGCCTGTACGTGCAATATTGGGTGAACTTCAACGGCCCAAGGAAAACTGGTTGTTGCAGGCATTCGCTGCCCACCAGCAGGAGAAGGCCATTTTTTAACTTCGTGCCTCCTGTACCACCAATGCGCCCTGCGCACAACTGCTCTCCGCCAACTGCAGCAGCATGCATCCGTTTCTTTTTTCCCCCCTTTCAATCCTGACATCCGGACTTGCTCTTCCATAGCCGGACAGTCCGGGTTCGTATGTCCAGTTGGCAGGATCGGTGTCCGGATTACTCCAGACATGTGTCCAGGCCCGGTGTCCAGTGTCTGGATGTGTGGGGCCGGAGCAACCGTGGCCTGAACTTCACATTAAACCACCAGTACCTTCCCCATACCCTTCACCGCCGCGACTTTCGAAGGCCTGAAATGCAACGAGAGCCGCTGATGAAATTTATCAACGGCAGCGTGGTGGAACCTGGCGGACCCTGGCGGTTAACACACCGCGTATTTGTTTTTAAAGCAGGGAACAGTACTGGCGGTTTAAAGTTTCTGGCCTGCGTTTCTTTTTTCGAGCCTTCAGACGATTCTTATTGACTATTTCCAAGTTTTGCTTGTTCATGAAACTTTTCTGGAAGACATGTTGGGAGACCTTCCACCCTTAACAATGAACCACTGAGGTTCATCTCTGTTTCAGAACCCCTTAGGGAAGGGGGAAAAAAATTGAAAAAGCTTCAGAGGTACTACCCCATGCTCTCCTTGAGCCACCACTTCCCCTGACCTCATTTAACGAACCCACATGTCTTTATCCAGTCCCCTACCACCAAGCCTCTTTTCTCCACCATCCCATCAGGACACTTGTTTTTCCCACCGAAAGAAAAAAACAACAGTGACGTAGACGGCCAAACAAGAACAGCAGGCGGACACACGCGGGGAGAGAGAAAGTGCGCGAGTAAAGGTACTATCATACACAGAAACGAAGAAAAGACAGGGACATCATTATGTCAGTCACGGTCGAAGTCCACCAAACGAAACACCTGACGACGGATCGGGAGAGTTTCCTGACCGCATACTATTTTCTTCTGTCTGTCTTTTGAGATAATAGGCCTCGCTCCACTACGAAGTTCGGACTACCTGCACGAAAGACCAAAAAAATGGCCGTGTATCTTCCTATGTTCTACCAAGATCTATTCTCATTTTGCACATTTAGCGAGTAGGGGAGTGAGGCCCTGACTTCAAGCGTCAGGCGTTTCCAAACACTAAGCGCCTCACTCCAAATACTATGGGCGTCGCTCCACTACTCACCAAACATGCAAAATGAAAATGAATTGTCCACTCAAACATGGAAAGATACGCCGCCGCATTTTCTCTCTTTTTCGCATGCGGTGCGCAGTGGAGCGAGGCACTATGTCAGGTATGACAGTCTCCCCGTCCAACATGGGAAACTGTAATGATGAAACTACCTCAGTCCCCACCTGTATGAGCCCGAATGTGAGTTTCTCTTTTGTTGTCTTGTTTTCTTTCTTGCCCCGTGCCAATGCTACTTTTCTGTGCTTCCACAGCAGAGGGCGGATTGTTCATGTGCGGAGAGAGTGTTCCGGGACTTACTAGGTCCCTTGGCCTGTCCACCACACCTGAATCCGAGGCTGCGTCGGAACTGTCCGCCGAGGCGCGAATGCGTAATTTTGAAATTTTCAGCATTTCTGGCTGACGGGGGCCAGTGGTGGTTTACCCCTGCCTCCAAACAACATGAGAAGAACCTTCATTTGCGATTGAAGGACAGCTTTCTACTTCATTCCGTAAATGATGTACATCTTCTTGAGTATAACATAAAATAAGAAGGCCGTAGTCTCCTCCCTCTGCATCAATACACATTCGGATAGTTGAGAGTAGGTAACTTCATTCCAGTGGGATACGGCACCTTGACTACAGTGGGACACGGGACCTTGACTACAGTGGGACACCAGTCCCCACCTAGACCCAAGGACGTCCCAAAGACCGCGATGTTTGCGTCCACCCAGCTGGTGGTTATTCCTCTCCTTTCGGACCTCCTTTTTTTACCATACCTCCTCAGGGCAGCGTATTCAAACTAGGACTTCCCAGGACGTATCTGAGAGCATACTCACACTTGATTTTTGGACGTAATTCGGATGAGATAGATAGAGCTAGTGTGAGTACGCCCTGATTCAGCTGTGAAAAGCATACAGCCCTCGTGCTGCATCTCCTCCAGAGGTATAAAACAGCAGGGGCACTTTGTTCCACACCGCTCAACACCAAAGACGTGCAGCGGAAGAATCAAGTCAATGGGAGGAGACCGTAAATTATTCACAAGCATGGTTGACTCAGGCGCAGCTCCCGTCCCGCCCCTCCTCGTTAACAAAAAAGTGCGAGTGTCATCAATCCATTCATCTGCTTCATATTTTCTTCTCTTCCATGCACACAGCACGTACACAAGTGTTCTGTTACAAAATCGTCTCCCACTGATCGGAGAGACTGTCCACAGCTGTTAACCATCACGTTCGGAGTCCGACGGAACCTACAACAAAGATGGAGAAATAACAAAACAAAACACAGATGCATGGAAGATCACAAAAAACTGCCTAAAGGGCAGTTCAGGGGCTCTGCCCATGTACACCGCCAAAGGGCCCATATGCAGTGGCCATAGGGGAGGAGACGGTTGGGACTCGCACTGGGGAACTAGCCAGGGCCGCTTACGCATCATCCTCAGACATCGCTGCCATCACCACCACTGCCCCGTGATGGGTGTCACCACTATTACCATCACCGAAGTGCAATTGCCCAGTTTGTCACTATCATTCCCAGCCATCCATCCTCCTCGTTGTATTATCCTCACAAAGCTCAACCCCAACTCGTCACTA